ATGTGGAATGTTATGTTTTTAAGAAAACAGACAAAAACAGCAAAACGACGTTTGATTACAACGATTCAAATCCCCCCTCTATAATAAACTATGTTCTGTTCTCCTCCGTTACTGGATCGACCACTGGCCTCCAGTTGGCACATCGCTGTCTCTACGTGCCAATAAGTGTGTGCGCGCTTTGAACAAACTAATAGTGTTTGTGTTTCTGCTGCTCTCCAACACACTTCAGACATCACATCTCCCGAAAAGCATCAAAACCGTCCACTTCCTCCAAACACACACACCGTATTCAGGCGGATGGCTGAGATTATCTCTCCTCTCTCTCCATCCAACCATCCAGACCCACCTGGCGCCTCCGCTGGGCTGCAAATGACGGCAGACAGGAGGTGTAGCGTTTCCTATTGTTACCTCCTCCATCAGAGAGAGGGAGATGTCATCGGTGCATCCCTCAGCCACAACAGCACAGCTTCTAAAACTGCATCACAGCGCGCGTGCACACACGCACACACACACACACACACACGCACACACACACAACCCCCCCTGCAGTTATTCTAGCAATACAAGTTAAACAGTTTCTTACATAAAGGCGATTCAAAGTGTTTTATGTAACATGCTAATTAAAACAAGTGAAGAAAGATAAAGCCTAAAATAAATAAAATAAAATATAGACAACTTTAACAAAAGTTAACAAAACAAACAAATTTAACAATTAATTAAAAGCAGTGGAAAACCCAGTGTAGCTCGGTTTGGCTCTGACTGGGGCAGGTCTGGTTGGAGCAGCGCTGCATCAAAAGGCCCTTTCACCATATTAACTTCAAACCCTGGATGCCACCAGCTGACCTGTAGAGTCCAGACACCTACCAGGTTGCTACTTGACAAATACAAGTAGGGAATTAAATCCAATTCTATAATTTACCTGGAAGCCAGGATCTACGCTGTATTTTGAATGAACTAGTTTACAAATGTCTAAAGGTCTTTTACAAGTAATAAAACAGCTTATACCTGTACAACAGCAGCCTGCATTCATAGGAGCATTGTAATTAGTCTAGCATATGATCACCTTTACCCTCATTATGGTCTGAGGATCTTCTGTTTATAATACTATGCATGAATATTAAAATAAGTCTGGCAGTAAAACTCTGATGTCTAGTACACAGCATGAGAATCTTTTACTGTTGAAAATGTTCAACTGCTAAATTTGAGTTTTTAAACTGACTACTCTCTGTGTGACAGGCCTCAACAGGAGCTCCAGAAAGGTCACGGCCTTCCTTCTACAGCTGCTTTCCTCCTGACAGACACTCGGCAGTTTGGTGGCTAAAACTCACAGTCATGTGGCCTTTTGTGCATCACTTCACAAACATAATAACAAACCTCAGAGGTCCCAGCCATAATCCCTGAGGTACATGCACAAGACCAGTGAAACATTTCTGCTGAAACTCTTCTCCATGAAACTCCTGAAAAAAATCTGGCTCTGTAGCCGCTTGGTGTCCACACTCCCTCCATCAGCAAGAGTCTATTTTGGTCTGTCTGCAGTTTGTTGCTGGGCAGGGTGTTGTACAGTGGCTTTATCAGAGCTTTTTGGCTGAAAACAGCTGCCTGCTGCATCTGGAAACAACAGCATGAGAGTGCCGAGTCTGATGCACACAGTACAGACCAAACAGATGCAGAGTCTCAGGGCGATGTCACCAGATTAGTTAGAACGTCTCCCTATAACTTCCAAAAAACAAAAATAGGATGGCTTGTTGGAGTTATTCAAACGTCCTCCTGTTTTAGCTTCTACATCAATAATCAAGGGAAAATTTGTATCAGATTACAGATATTTATCGCCTCCACAAGCGGTACAATTTCAAAATCTCATAAAAATGAAAATTTACGGGCACCCATGCAAAGTGGTCCCTCAACAATCTGTACCAGATGGTGAATAGAAAGTGACTCCATATATTGTGTTTGTCACTTTATTTTGAATATGTTTTTATCAGATTAGGATGAATATGATCCCACTTTGGAGGCTGGCTCTGTGGATTTTACTTTCTTTACTGATGAGTCCACACATCAGGTAAAATTATAAGAGCTATACATTGTAACTGGCTAAACATGATGCAAACATTTTCTCCCCCTGGAAATCCCTCAAGGACCCCTGGAGCTCCATGAACCCACGTTTGGAAATCATCGTCTTGGAAGAACCATCCAACTAAAACCAAACATCCCATCACCTACCAGTTTTATATTCTTTCCAATAGTTGCTGTAGACCTTTGGCTCATCTGACACGTAGGAAACACAGTGCTCAGCCTGGCGTCATTGGATTTAATGCTTATTTAAAGTGAGCGGAGGCGGCCGTGTGCCAGTCTAAACACTATGCTGCCTTGTTTGGCACTTTTTTAGGAGGACATGCTGATGATGATGATGATGTAGCGTGAATTGGAGAGAGTCACCAATGAGTATGCAGGGACAACCACACACAGGTCAGTCTGTGCACAGCTCTATCTGTGGACGCTGGAAGCAGTGTTTACTACCTGCTGGGGTGCACGTACAAGGACACAGCGGAGGACAGACCCAGCCAAAGGTCTGCGAGGGGCCCCTGCGTTGTGTGTCCATGTCAAAGTGCATGACATTTATGATCAAAGTCACTAAAAGAAAAATAAGGACAAACTTCTGCAGAGTTATTCTTGTCTGAATTGTCATTTTTGTGTTTGGTTCATCCAAAAATGTGTAAACTGGAATAATCCCAAAACTCGTGTGGTGCAAACTTCAGCCATGCACAAACCTGACAACATGCATCCTCAGATTCTCTCCCTGATCACAAAATCTTGGGATGTGATTGGCCACTATAACAATATTACTAAGTTATCAAAAACAATCTAAAAGACCAGGTCAACACGATCTCAAAGAGAGCTCTCGTTATATCTGAGCTCTGTGGGACTTAGTTGATGGGAAGTTTTGTGACGAAGCTACAGCAAACAAGTCTTCAGTGCAGAGTCAGAGCCATGCGAATGACAGAAACTAAAGATGGAGCTTCAGAAGAATTTCAGCACCCCGGGGAAAAACGTTAATGCCCCTTGTCTTAAACAAACACAGGAATAAAACTCTAGGATAAATATTTAAGCTTGTTTTATTCTTAAGTTCAATTTATTTTCCCTTAAACTACAATGACTTCATCAGTCTTAAGGCATAATGTTGAGATTTGCGGTTTTAGGGTGAACTAAATGATGGAAATGTTTCCATACATCATGGTTTCTAAGATAAGAATTGAACAAAACATTGATGTAATTTCTGCTGGAATAAAAGGCCATAGTTGGAGGGTGGTGTCCTCTTCATATCACTGGGAACCTTTACATTCTGTTTCTATCCACATATCACACACTCTGGGTTTTAGGCTGATTCTGATATTTTTTAAGAATCAAAAGACAAACTGTGACTGTTTTAGACAAGAGAGACAGAAATGCCATAAAACAGCTGTCTCCACAGCTGTAAAGGAGTACAGAGAATGATTTGAAACTATTTCTATGACCATGGGAAGAGTTTTGCAGCTTGTGGCCTGGGACCTGGACTTGAAAAATCCTGGTTCCAAAGAGCGAAAAAAGTCAGAAACCACTAACTGATGCTTAATGTTTCGTTGTCTTTGAAGAAGACATTTGGTTTAGAGCCGAGAGCCCCGGCGGCTGCGTGCATGCGCACGCCGCCATGACGGGCAACTTGGGGGTCCAGTGTCTTGCCCAAGGACACTTTGACTTGTGGTAAGCACCGAGACTCGAACCTTCAACCTTGCGGTTGGGAGACGACTGCTCTAGCCACCCACCGCACCACCGTAGCGCCCTCATTCTCTGTGTCATGTAGTACCTGCTCCTGTTAAATTTCAGTGCATGGCTCATTCATTTTTAGCCTTTAATAGATTTTCAATGTGCTCAATCTGTGACATTTCGATTGTTATGTATTAATACATTTCTAAACTATGTATATTAATAATTAATATCGATAAGACTGCGGGCTGTTTTCAGCTGCGTCCACCTGCCGTGTGTCCAGAGAGGAAAAACCCACAACAAGAGCGCAGGGAGCGGGGTGACAAAGGCGAAGGGTCCCGTTGCAAAACGGAAAGGGGAGCTGATAGGAGCAGATTAGGCCGGGCTAAAAACGTCAGTCAGTTTTCCTGGAGGAATTTTAATTGCCCCGGGGGGCCCTGCTTATCGGCCCAGGGCGGTTATTAATACAACACCCGCGATAACGAGGATAGAGAGAGACGAGGTGCCGCAGGCGGGCGGGGTGCAAGGAAACTACTGGAAGAGGGAAATCAAACACATTGTTCCGTCTAGTTTTTATTTAAATAGCCCACTTCGATGTAGACGTTACTAATCTGCAGCCTGTTCCCTTAATGGTTGGATGTTTGTGTTGAGAGTGAAATATTTAAAACACATGTAATGTCTGTATATTTATTCCGGAGAACTTTATACACATTTTGTTGTACAGTCTCTCAGATTTGTTGTATTTGGAAACTTCGGTGTCTCCTCTAAAATTTATTAAAGTTTTGAAACAGTGTTTCAGCAAAGGCCTGGAGCCACCGACGTCAGATGAGCTCACTGCTAAAATGTGGATCTTTAGCTCAGTAGTTTGGTTACTATGATTTCTTCAAGTCCAAATTGGAATAGAACCATTAGAAGCCGGGTTGTTTGACTTATGGCTCTTAAGCCATAGCCAGGACAGGGTGGAGCAGGTTTCAGGGGCAAAACCCTCACTTCCTTTTAACAAAGTGCAAATCCAAGCCGTCTCCGTATGGCCGACATAAGGCAATGAAAACCCCTCTGTTACATCCTAAATGCACGGGTGAAGACAAACTACAAGACAAAGGCTACACTGACTCTACTATCCTTGACCTGACCGTTGACCTTGACGAGCCACCGCACGCACAGAAAGCTGCGTCTGCAAGGAGCGCACAGATTTATGCACCCACCAACACGAGGACGCAGGGTACTGACCGTGTGTGGAATGATTAAAAACGGCAAAGAACATTTTAAAAACACAACAGAGCTAGGTCACAGTGCAGGTCACCTAGAGCCAGAGCCTGGCTGTTAACGTAAAACAACGTAGCAGCGAAACTGTTGCGTAAAGAAGGATAAACACACCGGGCAATGGAGGAGCAGGGTTTCGGAAAAATTCTCTGTCCACCATATTCACACAAGTCCGAAACAAAATCAGTGCGTGATCCGACGTCATGTACGCTCCACCTTCCCCGTTTCTCCCTCTCTCTCCCAGAATGCTTCCCTTCCAGCACACACGGACTTTCCATTTCACACACCCCACCCCCTGACATCAGAGGAGGCAGAGGCGCTCCTTCGCCCCGGCCCAAACTCCACTTACAAAGCCCGACATTATATCTGTCAGAGAAGAGACCTGCATGGACAAACCCGGGACTAATGCCCATGATTTCGTGCGATGAGGGATTCCACGGGCTTAACGCACCTCCACTCACCAAAGAAGGGGCTATTAAGCTCAATTATTTGTTAGAGAAAGAGAGAAGGAGAAGGGGTGTGCATGTTACTCGGCGGGCTTCATTTCATCGATGCTGCACAGCAGGAGCTGGATGACATGATGCTGCAGAGCCCGCTCACCTCCACGCCGTTTTCTGTCAAGGATATCCTAAAGCTGGAGCAGCAGCAGCAATCCGGGTCCCTGGAGCTCCATCACCGGGCTCACACCCAACAGCACTTGCCCGCATCTCCTCCTCCACAGCAGCAGCATTTCCAAACACCGCCGTCTTGCATGCTTGCGGGGGCCCGGGACAGCCCGTCCTTCTCGGACGGAGAGGACAACCTGGCCTACCTAAGCGCTCTAGCGGCGCGGGAGGAGGAACGCGGGGAGACCAGCCTGTCCCCGGACATGTACGTCCACCCCGGGCTGCAGGGAGCCAAGCTGGAGGCTGCCGAGCTGGAGGAGCAGGAGAGCAGTGAGTTGAAGCACAAGCTGCTAGTGTGAAGGCTAGACAACAAAGGACACGTGTAACTACAATATTCAGGAATATTAATAATAGCATTTCACAGAGAAAATGACCCAGCTGTACGGGTTAAATTATAAATGGAAGCGACTGTTTTAAATGTTGAATCTCATATTTTCAGCGGCTACAAATTTATTTGCATGTTTAGGCACAAAAACATCGCGACCTATTAACCTTATCTAAACCGCTGTCACTGCAGTAGCTGTGGAAATTGTATTACTATAACGCACAGTTTAGTTTATATTTTAAATTCTACACAAACATCTGCCATTTAATACGTAATTGCTAAGACGTTAAAGCGTCAAACACAGTGAACCACCTGGAAAAGAAGATGGGCTTTGGATCATTATATCAAAAATCCTGCAGCTCCCTTGTGCATAGTTGAATCACTTAGACAACCTAAAATACACAGCCTACCACTTTGGCTCAAAATACAGGTTGAACAAAAGAGCTAAATTAAAATGAAATGCTCCATTAATAAAGTGAAAAGCGACTGGACTCGGCTCTGTCAGCGCCAGTGTCCCAATAAAGAGCTATGAGATGGTGGGAGTGCGCATCACGGCGGCCACGGGCCTGAGACGAATCCAGTAAAGTCTGGAAATGTCAAACACTTTCTAGTGGTTGAGCTGTGCGCTTCTAGCGCGGACACTGTTATGATATGTGGACCATAAACGGACAATTAGTTTAAAGAGCCTTGTAAAAGAAATGACACCACGAATAGCGCCAATAAACAGCCACGGCGCGGCAGCGGCCTCGCAGACACCCTCCTTAAACTGCTCGTTAGATATAAACAACCAGATTAGATTTTAACAGACTTTAAAGATCAAGAAGTCAATAAAAATTTAACTATTTAATCCGAAATATAGTTCACCATCATTTACATCTTATAGGAAAAGAGAGATTTTTCTTTTCTGCACGGTTTAAGCCTGTAGATTCACTTCCTGCTCAGAAATCTCGGGTCTGGTTGTTGTGCTCTCTGGCTAAAAGCTGTTGTATTTTTTAAGGAACCAAAAAGTGTCCCGTGTTTGTCTTTTATCAGCGGTGACAGATTGTTGACAGCTATTGGTAGAATTTTGAGTGTTGGTGCTTCTGTTCCAAACTTACCAAAGAGCAGTGTGTGTGGACTGAAAACCAATCTTTTTCAGGCCTAGGGAGAGACAACATTTCATGATTTGAGTCCAGAGATACTAACACTTATATCATTTTTTCAACCTGCCCAGAGAGCTGCGGGCTGGTGTCCCGGGAGGAGGCAGCGGAGGGCGGGCATGCCGACTCTGAGAGACCGGTGCAGAAGCAGAGGAACCGCCGGAGACCCAGGGTGCTCTTCTCTCAGGCGCAGGTCTTCGAGCTGGAGCGGCGCTTCAAGCAGCAGCGCTACCTGTCCGCCCCGGAGAGAGAGCACCTGGCGAACACGCTCAAACTCACCTCGAACCAGGTCAAGATCTGGTTCCAGAATCGCCGCTACAAGTGCAAACGGCAGCGGCAGTGGAAGTGGCGGGGCAGCACCACCCTCCGCCTCCGCGGCGTGTCGCCGTGCCAGTGCTGGTCCGAGATGGAAAGCCGTGTCTGGCCGGTACGCAGAGCTACGCCGCCGCTGCTCCGTACGGATCCAACCCGTACAGTTATAACGGATACCCGGCATACACGTACAACAGCCCCGCTTACAACACCAACTACAGCTGCACGTACACCAGCATCCCCGCCCTTCCTCCGTCCAGCACCCCCAACGCCTTCATGAACATGAACTTGGGAAACGTGAGCGGCCTGGGGAGCTCTCCACAGCCCCAAACACATCAAGGGACAGCGGTCACAGCCTGCCAGGGCTCCCTACAGGGAATCCGGGCCTGGTAGCCTCACCGGAACAGAACTGGTGTCCTGTCTCGGAGCTTTCAGTTTTGGTAAACCCACAGTCTTTTAGAAGTGTGTGGTCAGAACGACCCAGAACACATTATTGCTTATAGAACGGATGTGACTTTGGATTCACGTGTCCAGCTGAGATGAAACGTCCCACTACTTACAGCCAAAAGTGTGCGCGTAACGGCTGAACCGTCGCAGCTTGGGTGAAATGTCACCTTTAGGTCCATTAATTGGTTTGGCACAGGTAGGACTGAAGCACATGGGGAAACTACACATGTTTGCGCATTTCTCCTCATTTGAACTCAAAGGTGGGGATTCGACGTTTGTTTTTAACCTGGTATATTTTAACCTAAGGAGAGATTGAATTACTTTCAAGTGTTTTTGGTTCAACAGAGAATTGTTTTAGTCTATTTCACATTTACTCCAATAAATCCAAGAAACGAGAAAAGGTGCGTTCTGATTCTGTATTCGCGATAAAAAAGATTGATTCCTCTGAATGTTAAACTTTCAGTGTGCTGTTGAGAAAGAGATTGAAATGTTTAATATTAAGAGCCATCAGCGTCACAGAACTGAAACTGTATTTTTCCCCATATAATGAAAAGAGAGAATAATAATACCTTATATTACTGCTTTCATGCGGGGTCACTGTGCCCATAAGTGAATCAGATGCATGGTGGCACATTCTGCTCATAACACATTAAAGGGGAGAGCTGCTGGAGGAGGCCAGGCCATAGGAACTCTTTGTCCGGGTGCCAGGCGACGTGAAAGAAGGAAGTTATTCTCCATTTGAGGTCCTTTAAAGGACACGATTAAGCACCTAAAATACCCCCGAAGAGTGAGTTGCAGCCGGGCTAAGGAGTGGGAATAATGGCTCTTATTGGATTGTCGGACAAAAGGTGTGTGGTAGGCAGAACCGGGCACTCAGCAAAGACAAAGGCGCACAGGGGCCGTGAGATTGACGTCCTAATATTCCCATTTGAGGGACAGGCAGCGGGTTATTCTGCGCAGAGAAGGGGACATGGAGGAAAAATGTGGTCACTTTTGTTCCCCTTCAGGAGGCTTTTTTTGTTCGGAGAGAAAGGCTCTCCTAGATCCCCAGCCGCGAGGCTTCGGGGGCAGCCGGGCTGGAGGTGATAGCAGCAGGGAGGCGTTTCTGTGAATGAAGGGGGTATTATTGCTACAAGTTTCACCATTTATCCCAATGAGGAAAATGGACGGGAGAATTTTAAGGGGGAGCTGGCGATGAGGAGGGAGAGAGGTCTGTATCCTGTGGCCCATTATTTCAGTGTAAGGGTGTTATTTCAGCCCCAGACCGATGTTATTCTCACAGGTACAGTCCAAGCCCGGACGGAAAGCGACTGCAGTGGTCTTATAATAAATGTTTACACGGAAATTTAACTAATAAAACAGAAAAACCTCAAATATGACAGTGATTTCACTGGATCTGTGTGTCAGCAGGTCGTCGTTACGCACCACTGAGGACAAGTTCTGAAAAGGACATTACAAAGATTCAGTGTTTTTTTTTGGTACGAAGGGTTTCCTTTGGGCTGAATGAACCCAAACCAAACGAACTTTGGTCAAATTCTGGTTTAACGTTAAAATAATGGAAACCAGTTTTGAGTTCTTCATCATAACAAGGTCTGCGTGCGAGACATTTTTCACTAATTACTGATATTTGATAGGTAAACTCGTTGATTGATTAATCGAAAAAATAACTGACAGTTTGATAGAAGAACGAGGAGGGTGATGGTTAGAGGAGAAGGATTATTCTATATTTAAGGTCCTGTCTCCTCATTGGCGCTGTTAATTGGCTATTACGCACAAATGAGAGCTAAAAAAAATAAAAGCAGGGCTAAATCTCAGGGTGAACAACTCGCTGAAGGAAAAGAAGCTGCCAAACTATTTGCTGGAATAATTCTTAAAGCATATAAATCATCATGAAAGGTGTGTGAAAATTAGGGAGGTATAGCATCAATTGCTGTTTTTCCTCTGCGAGTAATTGTTCCTCCGGCCTGAGAACAGTTGTTTCCCAAACCCATTCATGTATAATTACACCCACACACTCATGTCCTAATGTGAGACTACAGCTAAGACTGAGAGCAAACAGCAGGAGACACAGTTACTAGAAACCCCCACACACAAAAACCTCTAGGCCCCGTTTCTACTCAGACATAGGGGTTTCTGGGTAAAGGTGGAGCAGCTGATGAATGACAGAAGTTCAGTTTGTCAATAAGATGACTTGCTTTTTGGAAGGAAGGAACGCTGAGAAATGCTTCAAAATAGGTTATTATTATCCTTAACTTCATTTTATTTGTTTCTAAAGTATGTTTACCCTGTGTTTTGGCCGCGATGTCCCATAGAGGTTAAAACCTCTTTCTCAAAGGCGAAGAACACATTCACAAAAAATATTAACACCAGCCACTTTACGCAGGCTTGGCTCCTCTCAATAAAACTAAATCCTGCATCATCTAAAGTAAAATCGGCTGCAGTTAAGATCGGCCAGAACAAATAGGAATCGAATGTGATGGGCAGGGACGGCTGCGTCTCTCCGGCTCCTCTCAGACTGTCGGTCTCTACGCTCAGATTGAGATCAGTCAGTCTGAGCAGTTTTAAGCAGCTGATCTCCTGTTTGGGACAAACAGGTTAAAGTCCACCAGAGCGACCTAAGACCTTCTCCTTCCTAGTGGGGATTAACTGAGAGGCAAACACAGAAAGCTGATGAGGTGTGCGCCCTCAGGTGCTGCCCGGCCGCAGGACACACACTGATGGACGAGACAGAAAGGCGTCCGCCAGCGGATGGGTCGCCAAACAAAACATAGCAATAATAATTAATATAATAATCATCATTTCGGTCCAAATATATATTGATGGCGTTATGATGAAAATACAACAAGACGTTATATGTAATATTATACATTCAAGTAAAAATGAATTGATTCCACAATTAATTACGGACAGAAACGAGTCCTGTGAACAAATATTTCACACCACAGCAAACCTGAAAACAATGTTCTGACAGCAGTCTAGTATTTCTTGTATTAGATCAGATCATTTTATTTTGTTCCGTCCCACTAGAAACCTTTAAATTAAACTTTCTACCACTGCTGAAGGAATTACTCGCAGTCTTTACTCAAGTACATGTGGAAATACTGCATTGTAAAAATACTCCATTAAAAGTAGAGGCCCAGCATTTAAAACCTTATTTAGATAAAAGTTCAGAAGAATTATTGGCAAAGTATCAAAAAGTACTAGTTACACAACCAATTTGGCCCCGTTACCTTATTACTACGAGTTAAAACACTGGATTACTGTTACTGATGCATTAACATGTATGAAGGTCTTTATGTAGCTGGACGTGGAGCTCCTCTGTAACCATGCTTTATGTTTGATAAGCTGGTGTAAAGTTTGGTTGTACAATCTGAACCTACACAGGGAGCATTAACTGGAGTTTCCAAATTAAAGTATTGGAATACAAAGTACCAATTGGATTAGTAGTGCAAAGTACTAGTAAAGTGACTTGTATATAAATGTCACCACTGGTGATAATGCAGCAGTGAAAACAACACACACACACACACACACACACACACACACACACACACTGCAGCGACCTGTGTCACCCTGTGTCACAGGTTTGATTACCGGCTCCCTCCGTTAACTTTCCGGTTTGTTTACCATCCAGCCAACAGCTGCTCTCTGCCTGATCAAACAACACAGGCAGCACCCTGTGCACAGCTGTGCATGTGTGTGTTGATACCTTTGGTGTTTAAACTGATTTTCAGGTGGACACGTTGTCTTTTCAGTGTAGAGTGCAAGACAAATCTCCTAATCTCAACACTACCAGCACACTCATACTTCCCAAATGTTTAGAATAAATTCTAAATCTTTTTTATTGACATATAAAACATCTGGGCACAAACTACTTACCTCAAAACAAACCAGTCACAGTTGTCTCTGGAGTCTTTCACTGGCAGTCTGCTGCTCTGACACACTCCCAGTAGATCCATGGTGATATTCTGCAGGAAACACAAGTGAGACACACTGAAGTGAATCGTTCTGAAATGTTTTATCATCATCACAGCTCTGACTTCACGCCCTGAGGCAGACACATTAACTACAGTATGAAACGTGGCTGCTTCAGTGTGAAAACATCTCAAGAACTTCTCAGGAATTCCCCTGTGATGTGAAATCACTTACACCGAGTGTTTTCATTTGGAATCAAACTTTACTGAGCTTCTAGAAAAGGCAGAGCAAACAAAATGCCACAGCTTCGCCGTCTCCTCTGTGTCCTCCTCCTCACATGTCCCCATTTCAGGACTGTAACACGATTACTGATGGATTTTCAGTCGCATTGATGGATTTTACGTTCAAAGACTTCTAAAATGAGATCACAGCTGCAATTTGCAATGAATGTAATACTATAAAGTAGAAGATAAAAAGTATAAGTAAAGCATATGTGAACATTAGGATGAAGAGAAAAGTGCACAGATCATGCTTGTTACTGTGTGTTTTAAGATTAAAAAGAAGAAGAAGCCAGAAATCACATTCTGGGATCAAAATCCAGAACCTCATGTTACCACCAAACCCCAGATGTATATTAGTTTGTTAAAGGGACAAAAATCATTGCTGAATTAACTCTAATTACTTTCCCCCCAAGTGGAAACTTCCCACAAGCCATCAGTCATTTATTGCGTGAGTTTAATCCAAACATGTTTGCAGTGTATCGAGTTACCACACTGTAAATCACTGTATGTTTGTTCAGCTCACAAACACAAGTTCCTCTGCTGCCTTCTAAACGTGACTTCACCGGAAGCGATGAAGGAAGTTGAATAGTTCAGTGGGCGCAGACGAGAATCAGCGGATCACGTTCAGCTAACTGACAATACCAAACTGACTCAGCTGTTTAGTTTCACAGAGAGACTCCCTTTTCTTTTACATTTCTCAGTTTACAGACCTGGTTCTTCATGTGACGTGAAAAACCGGAGACTTCACTGTATTAGCAAACAGTTTGTCTGCTTATGCCCAGATTTACTTCTTTACAAACTTCATTAAATGATTTGAGTTCATTCATTCAACTCATTTAAAGACAGACTAAAGTTGGAAGGGTGTGAAAATAAAACGCAGACATTCACAGTTGAATTAAGTTTAAATTAACCAATGTTACGTTAACAAGAAAAGGTCAGTTGATTCCACCAAACCCCTGAATGAGGTTTTACAGTGCAGGCGTCTGCCAGTTAACCCTCTCAGTGCTGACATGAAGCCGTAGAAGCTCTGTGGAGAGAATTTTGAAAAGGTTATCTGGAGGATTATTACCAGAGACACTTCTTTTAGATCATGGCTCAAACAGTGTTATAAACAAAACACAGTTCACATACTGTTACTGCATTATCAGCTAGTCCATACTGACCTGTTATGTAAAAACAATTCTATAAAAATGGAAAGCTGTGAACAGAAGAACTGCTTTACTCCAACATTACCAAGTTTAAATGCACTCAGTGTCTTACAAAATACATTCAAGTGGCCTATTGAGTCTAATAAAACTACGTTTTAATGTTTCTCATCATCATCAGACTCACTGCATCATTATCAGTGTGGATAATGTTTCCTGGCTCACTCTGGTTCTGTCTTAACACCCGCACGTTATTGCAGAAGGTGCTGCTTCCTCTACTTGTGATTGGTCATTGAAGAGCAGCACTCTGCGGCGCTGACAGGCCCAGACAGGCCGCGTTCACACACAAGAGACGCTCCAACAGATACCACCACTACTCTTACTCCTGCTACAACAACTGCAGCCAGCACATTCACAGCTACTCTCCACAGACCGAATAACCTGCCACATGACTTCAGCTCCTAAAGGCACCTGTCCAACAGCAACAAGTACAGTATTTCTATGCTTCAGCAAGTGATGTGAAAGTAGCCCTGACAGTTTAAAATGCTAGCATAGCCAGCATGGTAACAGTGTAGACAAATAATTCATATTAAAATCCAACATGCATGTTAATTTAGTAAAAGCACAGCTGACAATTTACAGACTAATAGTGTGACAGATGCTGAGCTGAGCCTGACAAACTACTGTGTCACAACACGAGGAAAAAGCTCCTGACAAAACAATCATATTTCACCAAACTACTGATGGATGGATTCCACCAGCGTGGCCTTAGGTGTGTAGGTTTTCTACAGCTCACATAAGCTCTGGGCAAACTAACTAACTAGCCAGTTGTCGGTGTAAAACCCATTTCTCAGAAGTCTCACTGTAAACTCTGCTGTGCCCATATCTGTGGCTCACACCCTGTGGGAGTTTGGCTCGTAAATGAAATATCCACCAACCAAAAATTTGACACCTACAAGTATTTGTGTAAAGTGCTCTTGAGGGACTGCACAGCGTCTTCTTCAGCTATTAACGTAATGCTTACATCAGTGTAATAGATTTTGCAATGGACATAGATGTTTGGAAATGTCTTTGCAACTGGTTTCCCGTGTGCTGGAGTGGGAAGGGGGAGGAAGTCCAGCCAGGAGAGCGGCTTTGGCTCATCCATCAGCCCCAGATATCTAAATATTTACCCTGCGATCCACATTTATCCCTTCACTGGTGCAGCTTTTTGGGTCAAAAACGTTATGCTTCTGGGAAGATCCACGAGTATACAGTGTTTATCCAGTGCTACCCACAGAGATTTATCCTAAACTGTCAGGGCTCACAATAACAAACATAAATTGCAGTGTGTCTCACTAAAAATCATTAGACTCATTTACATGAGTGCTACACCAGCTGGGAAAGTCTGGGGAAGAAGTGTGTGAGTAATGCTTTTGCTTCCATCAGCAGCTGATATCTAGGTGCTGTTGAGCAAAGCCGAGTACCAGATCACGATTCTGTTCGGAAACCTAAAGGCACAAGAAGAAAAATGCATGTCAGCACTTTTACTAAAACCTGAACAAACTTCTTGCAATTTAAACTCTTTTGTAGGAGCTCCTATGGGGGGGACCAGTAACATTTAAGGGGAAAAGAACAGGCCTTCATTCATGGGCAGGGTGTGGCACAACTCTGGGCTCTCAAGTGGGTGGTTAAGAATAAAAGCCTCAGTAAATATGGGCTAATATGTACGTGAAGACACCAAGGAAAGCAGACCTACTCATATTAATTAACGGTCTGATACCATCAAGATGAGTGCCTGGACTTTCAATGGGCAAATCCCAATTCCCTTAATTGCATTTACGTTTCCCTCACCGGTGTCCTAGCCCCACTCATGTGAGATGCTAGGAGAAAATGTGTGTTTTACTGGACTACAATATATTCAGAGGTGTTCCTAATATTCTGACCTCCTCCTGTATGTAGTTGGGGAGGACAACAAATATAGAGACGCCTCTAAATATAATGTAGTCCAGTACAACACCACCTTTAACTAGGACCTCAATAATAAACACATAATTGAATTTATACATTTGTGATATTTTCCCCTATTGAGCTTCATAAACAGTTCCACCTTGAATTGTACACACCTGTAGGGACGTACCTGATAAAGTGGCTGGTGAGTGTATATTCTCTGGGTGAAGGATTTGGAGAAGGCGAGTTGGGCGTCTGTCACCTCATTTGTCTTTGTATTGCAGTGACACACACACGCCCTATGGCGACCTTGGCTCTGACCAGGCCTGTTGCCGTGCACCCTCCAGATGAGGGCCTGACCTCACTTGCCAAGACCTTCCTGTCCAACTAAATGGATCGCCTCACGTTTCAGTGCTCAACAAGCTCCAGTCTTGTCTTTCATGTATCCTGTGTCACTTTACCCCCCCGCTATCCTTTTCCTTTCTCTGTTGTTTTCAGGGGGTTAAACTGACACAGGATACATGAAAGATTTTAGCTTGTCGGGTGTGAGAAACAACAACAAACACGAGGCCTTGGGTGATATAGGATCCACTGCAGAGGGAAGCTGGAGGTGGTGCTTTCCATCAGTCTGCTCGTCTCTCTATGATCCCTGCCTGTCAGTAGCAGACTATACATGTACCTGCTGAGGACAGGTTAGCTACGGAAGCCCTGGAGGACATAAAACCTCTATTTGTAATCTAAACCAAAGCCTTGTTCTGTCACCACTAAGCCATTATTAAGCAATTCCCATACATATATTTTTTGTTTATGAAATAAACCAATTTGTTATGCATTGATCAGTAAATCAACTCCCAGTCCGTGAGCTACTTCTGCAATAGTCAGTTGGGGAAAAAAGAAAACATGAATAAAGAGGCTTTTAGAAAAATATGCCACCACTAGAGCCTTGTAAGTGTCCAAATACAGCCACAGATGTCACTTTATTCCAAATAAGATGAACCCACCCTGATGATTGACACTGGGGTCTGTTACAGTAAGACATGAGGGCAGAGACTCACCAAGCCAACGTGAAAGAACTCGCAGCGACGAAGGCCGACCTCTGCGACGCCTCATGTCAGCTTTGTCTGGGCCAGTCCAGTTGAAAAAGTGACACTTGAACACACCACACAGATGACAGCCAACCACCGACTAGCATGCGTGTTCTGCAGCTGCATAACAGAAATAACTTCGCCTACCAGCAGGTGGCGGTGTCCGCATTCATCATTCATAAAGGGAAAGACGTATAAAGCTATAAACAAAGCAGCGCTTCTTCAACACAGCTGCTTCCAATTGAGAATATGTCGGATAAGAAGTTGCAAACCCCACTACCATTCTTTGCTCTTTTGGTTCTGGAAGAAGAAAAGGAGGTTGTGGAGGTGAAAAACTACACTACATGGCTGAAATCATAGAGACTACGGCCACAGGCTGAAGGGGCTTTGCCAAACCTTTTTTCCTCATGCATTGATTTGGTAAGCTGAACAGCCAGCATGGTCTCTCTCTCTCTCACCAACAAGGCCCGAGATTCAACATGAGCCCAGATAGACGCCCACTGATGGTGGCAGACCATCGACTTGGTGCGTCTCTGCCCCAACACCAGAGAAACCAGCCCCTTTGCTTTTGGAGAAAAGTTCCATCAAGCATCTCATTTGCTTTTTTGGTTGCATCCTGTTGAAAGAAGTGAGGATGAGGAAAAGGAAGACAACCGGACAAGTTTAAATTCTCTCAGCGCTTGGAGAGCCAGCACCAAGAGAAGACCCTGCTTCTGCGAGGAGCTGCCTTAGCGAGTTTATTTACAATTCACAAAAAACAGGTGTCACTTTCAGACGGTGTTCAAGCATTTCACATTAGTGTTGCCGTCTGACAAACCACCAGTTCGTCTCCTGTTTCTCTCTATTGCTCTGTCTTTGGTTGAAATGTGGTTTAACATGAGAAACACTACAAGTCATGTGTAAATTCATCCATTTGATGCACGTGGTCTGAAACGGTTTTCCCTTTAGCTACGTTTCATGAGGGCTTTGTGTGCTTCCTACAAAAACCTGCCTTTTTACACCACAGTCTCAATAAAACTTGTACATCATAACATTTGTATAATCAACATACAAGTTAACTCTGAAACTTAGCTGGTTATTTCATTGGGGGGTCCTATATTTGCTTACATTAATATATATTATGTACAATTTCCAGCTTTATGGCTTCATAACAATCTAAGGATCTCTGTGCAGTAGTTGTGCGTTGGATGCATGGCGGCTAACTGAAGTCATGTGCAGGAGTAGCTGATGTAGTCTCTGTACTTGTGTCTAAGTTACTTTGCCTAACAATGATAAAGAAATTAAGTGCTAAGATGCTGTGTGACAAAAAAGTGATTGTCTAAGGTGCCTTCTCTTGCCTTTTTTGTTCTGTCTGTAATAAAAGATTTCGTTCCAAAACACAACATATTCACTATAGAAGGAAAAAGTTGCTACTTGGTTTTAAAACACTTTTCTCTGTGAAATAAGAACATTTCCAGTTTGGTGACAGGTTACAATTTTGTAAACCAAGGACCAAGTTGTTTTTCCATTTGGTACAGCAGCTTAGCAGTGCGCCCCCCTGTGGTCAGAAGGTAACGTGGTTTTAGTACTTTGCAGAAGTGCGACATATGCAGTTCCAAGAGCAGTGTTAACCTGGTGCACACTGTGGTTCTGAAGTATTTGGACAGAAATGCATTTTTGTTTTGGTTCTGTACTAAACACCGAGGACTGTAACTACGAGGTTAAACTGCTGACTTTCAGCTTTAAAAGTATTTGAGTGTTTTTCCACTGCAGGACTATTAGCCCTTTTAATCCCTTTGGGGGATATGTATAAAAAATGCTACAATGTCTACACAGTTAAGTGGAAGTGAAAGTATACACCTTCAAATTAAAGCTTAAATTCAGCACTTTAACCTTAGACTCTGTTTTGTTAATTTTATGTCCTGGAGATAAAACAAACTACCCTGTTGGTGGTCAAAAGGAAGTGAGGGACAGACTCAACCTTTGAAAGCTGAACGCTAAATGAAAAATAGTATCAGAAATTAATGGGGCTGGTTCATAGAACCAGACCTCCTGTCAGTGATTTCAAGGACTTCTTCCTATAGACGGGTACTGATGGACATTTGTCAAACCCACATCAGACAACTTGTCTATGTGTTTTCACCTGCTATGAACTAGACCAGTAAACAAGATGAAAGAGTTTTTGCCCTGCATCTGACTTTCTTCTCAAAGAACCTAAAAATCTGGAGCTCTTCAAACCTTCACACGATACCAGTGATCGGCATGGTGCAATAAACCTTTGTGTTGCTGACACCCAGTCCTAGTGCCAGGTGCTTATTTGTCTCCGTCACGGTCTCCATGCAGCCGTCTCTCGTGCTGCCGTTTGGTGATGATATATTTGAAGAACTCGTAGACAGACCAGCTGATGGCTGTGGAGGGCATCTGGTAAATGACCCGGGCTTGGACCCCCTTGAAGAATGCCGGCGTGCCTCCCATCCTGTACACTGTCCGAAAGGCCTCACCGAGACCAGAGATGTGGCTTCTGGCAGAGGCCGAAGCGGTGGCTCCCCCAACAGCTCCAGCTGCTGTAGCTGCCTCGGCCTGGATCACATGTATGGCCCGAGCCTCCTGGGTGTTGAGGAGCGTCTTGCAGACGTCAAGTGGAGTAGTGGCCAAGTCCCCCAGCCCGGCGCCCAGACACAACGTGGGAGGAAGGGTTGTACTGTCTGTGGGGGTTGAGGAGCTCCTGGAGATACTCGTAGGTCATGAAGTGGAGCGCCTGGAAGGGCACGTTCATGGTCAGCTGAGTGGTGTAGCTGCGGTAGAAAGAGGCCAGGCCCTCATGTCTCAGCAAGGAGCCCACACAGTCCAACACACCACGGTAAGGCGAGTTGAACATCTGCATTCGCTGTTTCACAACTGAAAAGAAAAGAGGGGATACGAGGGAGAAGAAATTAGGAATGAAATAAAACCCAAGAGGAAGAGGATGAAGATGGATGGATGGATGGATAAAACCGAAGAAGGAGGAACACTAGACAGGAAGGTAAGTTATTCAGTCAGAAGGTGAAACCAAACTATCTGACCACAAAACACCTTAGTTTGTTAAATAATCAATGGGTAGAATACGAGGACCAAAAGTTCCATAAATTAACAAAATAAAAACTAATATCATATTCAGTAAAACTTGATCAATCTTAGGTTCATCCTGGTGACCTGCTAGTTTTATATGTGCCAGCTTATCCTGAGTATCCTGTGATAGGAGCTGGTTCTATTACAGTAAAAAAGATTTTAATTTAGCTGTGACCCAGAACTATGCTCAGTGGGGTTTTTGTTCAAACAATGCAAACAGTCTGTAAAACTTAACTACACTCACTAATATTATGTTGCAATGCGATGAGGTATAAACATATTTCACAGAATTTAGATGGATTTTTTTTTGTTGCAGCAACATTAGGTTTTCCAGTTTTGACACAGTTGAGTCTACAGCTCCATCAAGTGTCCTGATGGTAGAAATGCACAATTGCAGAGATTTTCTGTAGTTGTCTTTTATTTTTATCTATAAAAAAATCAAATCCAACAGCATGTTTTCACTGTGCAGACTGGACTGTGTGTGTGTGATGCAGGTGAGCTAACACAAGCAAAGAAGAGGAGGTTTTACCTTCAGCTGGGTTCATGATGGCGTCGTGCAGCACTGTGGCCATGCAGCCTGCCACTCCTGCAGAGCACAGCGAAGAGGAAGTTAAAGCCTTGGCCACAAGAAGGTCCAGTTTCCTTCCTCCTCCATTAACACCAAACTGACAATAATATTCTAAGCAAGCATCTTAAATTATTGGTTAAAATATCTGTCACCCACAGCTACAGCTTTGTTTAAATCTGGCTTCTTTACACTAAACATATAACATGTTTGCCAGTTGCATTAGCGCCCTCTCATTATATTTGTTCTCTATTCTATTTAATAGGTTGGAAAAAGTTGCTTAGAGTAAAATTTAGATACCATGAAAGAACAGTTCATTTTAGGGGTATCTTACCATTTGCAAAGTGGCTGTTAGCACCTGGGTGAATGGCATCACTGAGCAAGAACTTGATCTTTTCGTAGCATGCAAAGTAGAGAGCGTGGGCAGGCCCCGCGCCCACCACCAGCACGTTTACCCCTCTGATGGGACGCCAAACACCCTCAGTCCGCACAATCTGCTGCAGGGCATCCATCACGTTCCTGTAGCGGGCTCCTGGCTCGGGGTGCAGGCTCTGCATACGAGTCTGGGGAGAGAGAAAACATACAAATACACCGGAAAACAGATAGTGAATTATTATTATGAACTCTACTGAAAAACTGCACCGAATTACTTTTACTTTGTAAGAGCATCTGATTGATTGTGAACAGAGCAATTTGCATTTCCAGCATCATCACAGCATACTGGCCTCAACAGGGACATAACATTTTATCATATCAACTGTACTAATACTGGAAAAAGCCAGATGGAGGCCATGCAAGAGCAAGGTGCAAACAATCAAAAATCAGAAGGAAAAGTCCAAAACTGATAAGAGGAAAAACTCTTAAATTTAAACTGTGACTTTAACAAGAAACTGAGTTAATTTTAAATAAATCTTACAGACGTGCTTCTGCTAGAACACAAACTTAATGAGAACACAAATATAACTCCTCCTACATAAAGGAAAGACAAGTTGGGACAACCAAAACAGGCAGCAGTCTGACAACAGTGTACACCTTCTGTGCAGCGCGTTTGTGTCTGTGTCCCTGTAGTGCCTACATGCCTCTGACAGTCTGTCGACTACAAATCACACCAACGTCTGCCACCGTTTATTTACAGCGGCCACAGCTGTTCTTCAACTCAACACAGAGACAGAAACAACTGCATTTATGTCACAAATCATAAATCTCAAACATGATTCAAAACCTCCAGACTAAGATTATGCAATTCCAAAACTTTTCATAACAAGCCACAAGTGCCTACGCCCTCCCCGAGGGGTAAATGGAAGGGGAAGCCTGGCTGGTCTCAGTTACACGGACATGATGCAGCCTCCCTTGTCTCAACCAACTGGCTAAATTCAGTATGACTGCAAATTAGTTAAAAACCATTGAAACAGAAAGCTACAAGTATGTACAAGCAGACCAGTCACCAGTGTGTGGACATTAATACCCTGCCATGAACCTTATACTTGGACTCTGGAGAAGCTGAGGCTTGAACGCCTGGCGCCATTTTGAAGCTTGATTTGTCAAGAAGTAGCAATCATGAGAACGTGTCACAGGAACAGCTAAAACACTGCCAGGATTTAGTCACTCACTTGCTCATGTCACGCATGGTATTATGCATGACTGAGAAGTGAAGGAGGGCATTCAGTACCTGACAAACATCCGAGCAGCTTGATTTCAACGAGGACTGCACGATAAATCGTTTTGAGAGTGTGATTTAGATCTCTGTGTGATCTCAGTCTCACATAACAATGATTCTGCTGTGTTTGCATTAACACAGAGATTCCTTGCATTAAACCACAAGGACAGGTTCCTCACTAAGCTGCGTTAACCGATAGCGGGAGTGCGTAACATCATGTGGATCTAAATCACGCTCACAAAACGATTTATCGTCCAGTCCTATTTTTAACCCTGGTAGCAATACTTGTAGTGTAGCATTATACAAGAGGAGTTAAAGAGAAACTTGACCCCAGTTGTTTTTTGCCAGCATGCCACGGTTGAAGCTTGCATTCTGCAGTGACAATAATGAGGGGAAATGCAGCGTGGTGCCCGGACACCTTGACCCAGCAGTCCTGCTAGGTTTGGTCAGAAGTGCAACAGACTTGATGCTCTCAACTAAAGGACTTCACTGAAGCTGTGCTGTTCGGCTTGCTGTTAAGAAACTCTTTAGAAACCTTAGAGCTATGAGGTAACAGTCTGAAATGTGTGGAGCATGAAGCATCATACCAACTAGTAAATAAAGACAGTGGCCAAACCACTGTGACAGCAAAAGGAAGTTAAGATTGCGAAAATAAGGAAACCCTGGCAGAGGATGTGCTCCACAACATATTACTGCTATGAAAACCAAAACGACTCCCTAAAAAATCATCACCCACAAAAACTCATAGCACACTTCCTTCCTACTTCGACCAGTCTCAGCCACAGTCTGGAACAGAGAGGGAACAAAAACATCAGAAAAAGAATTAAAAAGCATTCAGTTCTTCTTCAGTTGCAATCACACCTGCAGTTTATTTTATGAACATTCAACTAAAAAGGCACCAGGGCATTTGAATAAAACTCAAGCATGTTGATTGTTGTTAGGGATTTATTGCTCGACATGCTGCCAAGCTGGACATTTAGCTAGAACTGTAGGGTGGAGGTTTAGTCTTAGTGCTTTCAATGAATGAGGAACCGTCGACATTTGTATTTGGAAAGAAACTTGACCATAACCTCATCTTTCTTGACTTTCCGTAATTACATACACATATATAATGATGCAATTTAACAAGCATTCAAACTATTATGTGACCATTTAAAATGGCAATATCTGCCTATTACTATATGGATAATAAGAATTCAATATTCTTTTATATTCAAGCCTGTTGTACAGCTGTTAATCAAAACACTGAATGCAATATGGCACACACATAATCAATGAGAACTATAAGTGCTGTAATATTTTCAGACATGAGAAACTTGAAGCTCACTGTGCATGATGTGACCCTAAAGCAAAATGTTGCAATAGAAACCGGTCCTGTGAACAAAGGCTGGTCAGGCTTAAGGCTGTTTTCCCCCCAAAAGGCTATAAACTGGGTAAATTAATCATCAAGGCTCTGCAGTGAACAAGAGCAGTGTTTGACTGGCTGCTGCTCAGGGAAACCACTGAGAACAGTTTGTTCTTGATCATCTGATGTAACATGAGGAAACAGCAAGAGGCTGGATAATAAAGACCAGCTGAAACATGAAGACTACTTGGCGTGTCTCAACTGCATTTTGATCAGACATTTCTAATTCTAATTTAAGTGTCCTTGCTGGAAGAAAAAGCTGTTGCAGTATCAGTCAAAACTTTCTGGTGGTGAGAAATGGTTTGGGATCAGGCAGCTGAATCAGGAGTCCAGAATACTGACTAGTACGGTCAGCTCACGTTCAAGTGCAATAAATGGTTCCTCATCTGACACAGAAGCTGAGACACAATTACAAACTAAAAAGTTAAAAAGGTACCGTTATGCTTCTCTATAAATAAAATTCTTTCCTACTTACAATACAGGAAGTCAGGGTTCATTTCTGTTTGTACAACAGGAAATAACAGATTTTTGTTCCATTTTGTGAAGACGTTTAATTTCTTCTGCTTCCAAGCAGCTTCTCGAGCTCTGTCATGTACAGAATTGTGGGGCAATGGCATCTGCTGACATCCCCCTCCTAATAAAAGGGAATTTGATATGCATTATGGCATCACTGAGCCTACTTTTTGTCTCTCTCCCAGTGTAGTTACACTACATACCCATGAGAATTAATAAGTAATGTGTAACTTGAACTCAGTGAGAAAGTCATGAGCACAGAGATAAAGGTCAAATTTCAGAATCTGTTGGAGAGCGGTAAATGGACTTATATAGTGCTCTTCTATGCAATGCGGGCACGCTGAAAGCGCTTCCAAACCATTCATGCAATTGCACTCCCAAACACACACATGCTGAAGTATAACTCATGAAAATGAACAGGACCTACTCCATGCTTGGTACAAAGGTTAATTTTGACCTTGACATGGAGAGATAGTTGGGTAATCATAAAACTGATTATGAAATCTAGAAATTCACACCTGCAAATATGGCTGAACACCTGTGCACACTACCACAAATGCTTCTTCCACATCAATGTCATTTAAGAGTTAATTCACCTGGACTACAGACTGGTGATCTAGTGAATGATAACTCATCTGAGTAAACCATCTACTATTTCCGTTGCTTCACAATTAACACGACCTCTTCTACAACTCATCTACTATTTCCGCTGCTTCACAATTAACACGACCTCTTCTAATAGTTTGCAATGCAAATGAACTTCAAGCCACACATTCATCTTCATTTAGTAAACCTGTGATAATTTGTTTGGTGCTGTGACAAATTGTGAATCTCTGTTTTCACTGTAGGGCACATAGCCAAGTCCTTTCATGACCTGCATTCCCCAACAATAAGTGCCAAGATCAGAGGGTGAAACATGAAAACTAAATAACATGTCCATGTCCAACTGAATTAGGATTATGACAAGGTTGTGGGGCTGCAAATTGTTGTATAGCCTAAATCATTAATATGCCTATTTAAAGACAACAAGCATTGAAATGTGCCTTTTTTAAAGACAGTGTCGCATCGAGGTGTCAGATTTAGTATAGGCTACGACCTGTAAGGAGCATTGAAATGTGCCTTTTTAAAAACAGTGTCGCATCGAGGTGTAAGATTTAGTATAGGCTACGACCTGTAAGAGAAAAGAGTTAGCTAAGCAGTGTCCGATAATGGGTGCATGACAGGGCAACTGCGGCTTAGCTACTATGCTGGTGCGTGTAGCATGTTGCAAGAGAGAGTAGCCAATTGTCAAACCTAACACTTTGTTATTAACCAAATATCTAACTATACGAAAGGAGGTCAACATTCCCAGTAGTGTTTACACATTCACTTTGACCATGCTGAGTTTTTTTTTTCTGTTTAGGTAACGTTACCTTTCGTTAACTGACCTCTAATAGCAAGGTTACCGCTGTTAGCTTCTAGCTAGGCTAATCGAACTCAGACTAATATTCGGGCCTAGCGCTGCTTGAGGTATATGCAACCAGTGGCTGCGTTCAATGTGGCATAACTGGGCCTAAAGGTCTTTAAATGAGCCGGATTTTGTGTTTCTTTGCTCTGATACCTTGACACAGTCGATGGGATACATAAGGCAGTGTTCCATGATTCCAGCTACAGCTCCAGCCAACATGTGTGTGCTGGTGGCTATTCCCTGAGGCAGTCCTTCATAGTCTAACGTTATTTCTGGCTCGACGGAGGTGGAGGTCTCCGGTGTCGGTCGATCCAAAACCGGGGCAAAGTCCTGTTCCCCAGCCATCCTCGATGAAAAGGACTCGACAAGTCTCCCCGTGGCGCCCAGGAGTCTGCCACCCAGCCATCGAAACTCTGCCTCGGCTGCAGCGCCTGCGACCCGGCTGTCGACTCCCGGTGTTTCCGCGGAGGTTCGTCTAGAGACGAAACCGTCCGCTTCCATTCATATGGAAATGAATTAAGTCCGTCAGGTAAGTTCAAATCGACGTCTCAGGCAACCCGCCTTAGCATACTCTTCGCGGTTCCTGAATGTTTCACCGCAGTAAGCCTTGGCGGGTCGCTACCATGCAATCGGGCAGCTACACAAAATCCGGGAGCATGCAGGAAGAGGAGCTCATGAGTAAGTTTGTCAGTGAGGTACACTAGAAGCTGAAGCTGATTGGCTAAACTGACTGTCAGTCCTTCAATTGACCAATGTGGTCTTTAAAATTAGGCGGGGCAGGTAAAGTGGGAGGACATCAACATCGGTGGGCGTTGACCACGTTGTAAGAAGGTCACGTGAACAACATGAGCAGTTGAAAGTAACTAAGGGTATTTACTCAAGTACAGTTCTTAAGTATAATTTTGAGGTATCTGCACTTTACTTGAGTATTTTCATTTTGTGCAGCTTCATACTTTTACTTCACTATATTTTAGAGGCAAATTATTTGACTACATTTAGGCCTATTTTATCATTTTAAATAGCTACTAGTTATTTTTCAGAATCAGATTAATAACAAAATACAGTATAACTATAAGACTTTATTGATCCCTGGTTGAAAATTCATAAACTGCCCAGCAGTTATGCAAATTATAAGGTTAAGCTAGTTAAAACTAGCCCCCCTTTGCTAGCTGAAGCCTAAAGTTATGAATACAATAATGCATTAATAATTTTAATCCAATAATACACTATGATATACACTAATGTCAAACGTGGCATTCTGCATGAGTACTTTTACCTTTAGTACTTTAAGTATATTTTGATTGAACAGGGCCGCACCCTGTATGGCATCGAGGGTTAAACTCCCCTTTTCATGGGCTACAACAACCTAAAGAGCCACACACTCTGTGACTATAGAGCTCACTCCCTCCTGTAATGGGAGTACTGCACCTGAAAGTTGTTTTAAATTTAGGTTTCCATTACATTTACAGTAGTTGAGTACTGGTTTGTATTTGTACTTCTAGCAGTCGTCCAACAGGTGGTGCTGTTTTTCTTATTCGGATAGTCACACCCATACCCATATCCGTACGTGTTTACGTATGACGATGACGTATTCAAAGGGCTAATCGGAAGCTGGTTCGTTTTCCATTTCGGTCATTCCTTTTCCTCCTCGTCTTTTAAACTAATTCTCGAGAAATCCAGTGAACGAAGTAAACATTTTATAATCCTTTCTGTCGAAGAAGCAGCTAATTTACCGACGTGCGTAGTATAATGGCGGAGGAGAGGCTTCTTTAGGTAAGCTAACTGTATAACTCAGAACGGTAGCATATGGATACTCTGTAAACGTTATTAGTGGCTCATAGAAATACCGTTAGCCGGCGTTCTGAGAAGTTATGCTACCTTGTTGAGGTAAGCTACCTTAGTAGTGAGTCACTGGAGTCGCTAACCTTAACCTCTACCTCAGGCAGCATAGGCAGAACAGTTACGTAGCATAGTTAATAGATCACCGGCTTGTGTCTAAACAGCTGGTACATTTATAACGTTCGATACCGCGGCATCTAGTGTTTTAGCCAGCGTAGATAATATATAGCTAACATGTATTCATAGTGTGTTTGATACGTGCAATAGTCCGAGTATTCACAGTTTATGCAACCGTTTTATCTTACATGACTGGGAGATAAGCCGGTTACTGGGATTTACTAATGGCCTATACGGAAAAAAACTGGGGTAATACAACATTGTTACAACATTTTAGAGGAAAGTGACACAAATAGACTATAAGGAGAGAAAAGAATATTACAAAACGTACAGTAAAGTCGTTTTATAGATCAAGTATGTTGGAGAAATAGGTGGATTTGTTGATGCCTGTGGGAAATTGCTGTGTTGCAGCGGTAAAGTAACATAAGAAACAAATAAAAAAATAGTAGAACTTAAATGATTAGTCATTTAATAATGGTCCACAGAAAATTATTGGGCAGCTTTTCTAATATTTGGTTAAGTGTTGGAGCCATCCATAAAACTAAAATTCCAAAAAACTGTGCTTGTTCCTGCTCCACCAATACAAGCATTGGAATAATCAATGCCACATTAATTCACAATGAAAATAACAGTTAGTTGTTACCCTAAAGAATAGCTCTGTGTAAACATTATTAAAACAGTGAAACAGGTCAAACTAGGACAGTGTGTTGCAACCATCCAAATACCAATTATTTTCATTAACAATACATCTGCCAGTTGATTTCTTGAGTAATCCGTCTATAAAATGTCAGAAGTGTTTGCAGGAGTATTTCCAAAACATTATTTTTGTGCTTTCATCATTGTTTTTAACTTCATAATAAACTGTGAACTAGCACTGTTGAACAGTATTGAGCCTTGTTTCCCTCTTCTTCCCTTCAGGCATAAGAACAGCCACACCCGTGGAGAGGATCCTAATCAGACTTCAGGCACCATGAGGTGACGACTGTGACACCTTGTACATTTGCCAACGTGGACCTATGGCAAGGTAACAAGCTGATAACAGTTTCAGCCTGGAACTTTCTGACAGGCCTTGATGTTTGGAACGTCATGATTTGCGCTTTAACTTTTCTGGATAATGTCCTTTTGACCTCATGGTCATGGTCCACACTTTTAATTGTACTCTTTTGTTGATCTTTCTCCACAGGCTCACTTTATCCTGCCTGCCAGCCTCCTGGTACTGCAGTGTGTCCCTGCTGTCTCTGGGCTGTGCTCCCAGGCAGCGGCTGCTGCTGCTGCTGCTATCACCTCCACCCTCCTTGTTCTGGGGACCTACCAGAGGCAGCTGTGGGGTCCCCAGCAACGTCCCAGGGGCGGAGTCAACAAGTGAGTTAACAGATGTAGTAATTATCCATCCATCCATTATCTGTACCGCTTATTGCTGAATAGGGTCGTTTCGGGCTGGAGCCAATCCCAGCTGACAATGGGTGAGAGGCGGGGTCCACCCTGGACATGTCGCCAGTCTATCACAGGGCTGACACTTTGAGACAGACAAGTACACACTCCTACGGGCAATTTAGAGTCGCCAGTCAACCTAAGCTGCATGTCTTTGGACTGTTGGAAGAAGCCAGAGTACCCGGAGAGAACCCACACAGGCACAGGGAGAACATGCAGACTCTGCACAGAAAGGCCCCGGGTCGGCTGGTGCTCGAACCTGGAACCTTCTTACTGTCGGGCCCCTTTAACTGAAATACAGATTTGAATTTTGAGACCAAAGCTATTTTTTGCCCCTGTGACAAAGTGGGTGAGAACACTCCACTTGTCCCTAGGCTAAGTCATGTATGTTTCCTAATGCCTTAACCTGTGTGTTGAATGTTTGATTGTATTTACTAGGTTAATCACTTCCTCATTTCGTACGCTCTCTGATGTCATCAAGGATGTCATAGGGTTGATTGGTACCAGGAGCTACTTAATCAGCTGAGGTGGAGCAGCTGGGAGTATGGCAGTCTAAGTGTAGTGGTGTGCACGTGCCTGTAAGTTGCGTTGAGTTATTTTGAGTTGAGTTTTCTTCAGTTATGTGAAGTTAAACCATTTAGTTTGTTTAGTGATTTTTGTTTGGCATGTGTACTTTGCTGGCACTTACTGATTTGAGGAAACGTGATGTATTTTTCGAGTCTGTCTCCTACATTCCTGGCCGCTCAGTCAACCTACCACAGCCCCATAAACACTGAAACAAGTCAAGGTTTTAAGATGCATACACACTGGAAAATAGACAACTAGTGTTTTAGTCTGGATGGAAGGCTAAAATGAAGCACAGAAGATATGTTGATAAATTGTATTTGCTATCAGCAGGGATCAACAGTGGTTTATAAGCTTTAGATCCCAGTGTTGATACACTGAAGAGACTTATTTTCTTTCCATGCATTGTCTTGGAAGTGAGTTTCATTTGCAGCATTCTGAAAGTATCTTCCAGCCAGTGTTGACTGAGGAAGCACCATTAAAAATTGTAAATGTAACCAAGCATGTTACTTTATATAAAGGCAAGGTGACATGCTGGAACACGCTGCACCAGTAAGTGCGTTTCATAATTAGCAATGAGAGCCATGTTGGGAGTAACAGACATGGAGGAGGTTCTGGAATCACATGTCAAAACATTACTCCAACAGTAAGAGGAATTTCAAGATTATCAGTCACAAATATTGCTTGTTAATAAAAAAAAAACATGGGTTGGTCAAATGTTGTTTCAGCCCCAGTAAAACTCAACATTACTTTGTCTGTGGTTGGCTGTTTATTACAAATCTTTTATGTAAATCTGATATAGTTGAGGCTAGACTGGAAAATCCTTGGTAAACAGAGTGAGATGATAAACCAACTTTGTGAGACCAGTTATCGGTGTGTGTGTGTGTGTGTGTTTTTTTTAAGCCTGGCGTTTGTGAGAAAAATTACAGGTGCTTACATGAGAAACAAGGACAGATAAAGCTGCAGAGATGATGCATGAGGTAAAGGCACTCTGGAGTTTTACTTGTGACCCCCCTGACAACTCCTCCTATCTCTGTTTGACTGAGTCTTTGTTTGCATTTTAATACACGTAGTCAAAGTAGTGAAGAGAGCACCGTGGGCGTTTCTCTCCATTTTTCAGGAAGACTGAGATGTGACTCCTACACCCGCTGGCATCTTCTCTCTGCTGTTTGCTCCAGGATTTTATCCAGAGCATCACACATGATGATGAATATCTTGTGTGGATGTTGTCAGTGTGAATTAAACCTGTGCTGACTGTTATGGAGATGCATGCGGTCATACTTGTTTTTCAACAGTATTATCAATAAGATACACAGCGATCATTTTGCAAAAGAGTAATGATGTTATTAATTTGAGTAAGTTAAATACATAGAATGTTATGTTTCTGTTATGTTGGATGGGCCCAAGATATTAACTTACCTAAAAAAAGATTTTAAGATCTAGTTTTCTAGGTCACTTAATTAGGTGGATCTCTCCTTTTTATACATGCTTCAGCTATGATCGATAGTTATGCTTCGTACAAATACAGTATGTAAGTGCTGGTTTCTGTGCAGGAGTATGTTCTTCATCTCATAATGTTTGTCCTCATCCAGATACCTCTCCATCGCAGAGTCCATGGAGGCCACTGATGTCCTCAACCCTGCTCTAAATTATGGGATCGTGGTGGATTGTGGCAGCAGTGGCTCTCGGGTTTTCGTGTACTACTGGCCCCCCCACAATGGGAACCCCCACACTCTGCTAGACATCAGACAGATGAAGGACCATGACCGCAAACCGGTTGTCAAGAAGATCAAACCTGGTGAGGAGCTGGAGCCGAGTTGGTCCCACTGTTTTGTTCCATGTGATCATTTCTGCCATGTGACTAGTGCTTTCTATGAAACGATCAGCCATGCTCATGCTTTATAGTTTAAGTTTGCCTCATTCCTTAACATCTTCATATAAGTTGTTGCTTTCAGAACAGACAAATCAGTAAACAGAAAAACCATTTGCTGACTCTGATGGTAAACAACATTGTTTGCCATGGACTCCTCCGTGCATTAAAGACTCATTCTTTGTAGAGCCCTCTGGGAAAGAAATGTGAACAATTACTGATGTCAAGAATCAGTTCAGCACCAATTCTCTAGTACTTTATTTATTTGATGTCAGTATTTCTAAGCATTTGAAACCAGAGTTGTGCAGTGCCAGTGCTGCTGTATAACGGAGGTGGAAAGGACTACAGGTCTACAGAGACTTGGTCAAACACCGTCTCGTAAATATGTTGGAACAATTCCTGTTTTCTTACTGTGACACTTTACAGCACAGACAGTTACTCAGAGCTCATTCTGAACATTTCAGTGCCAAAAATAGGATTATAGATACTCAATGTCCCTTTGGCTCTTGGCCACAAAAGTGAAAGACAGCATATGAAAGAGATAAGAGGGAGTATGTATTCATGGAAAAAGCTCATTTAGAAAGGCGAAGGAAAAATAATAGAAGTTTAAAACAAGAGACAAGTGGTTGTTCTATAGCTGTTTTTTGTTGCTCAGTTTATCTTGAGTTGAGATGTTTCTGATGGCCTCCATTTAATTAATGAGTGAGTGAGTGCAGAGGAGCAGTCAGTCACAGGGGTCCGACTAGACACACTGGGTTTGTTCCAGGAGCAGCGAGTTAAAGCCACTTTGGCACTTGGGTAATTTCCACACTATGAATTGTCTTCAGTGCTGCTGTCCCTGCAAACAGTACTTGTGATATAAATACATGAACGGATACTGAAGACTGTCTGTATTGTTGGTCCTTGCAGGTATCTCCACTCTGGCAAAGATGCCCACGCAGGCCAGTGACTACCTCCATCCTCTCCTCAGCTTCGCTGCTGCTCACGTTCCGAGGAGCAAACACAAAGAGACGCCGCTCTACATCCTCTGTACTGCTGGCATGAGGCTGCTGCCAGAGAGGTAGGAGGAACGGCACGCCACGCTCTGCCTGATTCTGTTGTTGTTGTTTATTGGTTTGTGCAGTAACATTTTTTTTCAAACCATAGTACATGATATGTGTTAATTTTTAATGTTCTTTGTTAATTAAGACTTCTAGTCTTCCCATAATAAGCAATTTGGCCTTTTCTGTTTATTTATTTTGAAGTATCAGTTTTCTCATCAAGAAGCTCCGACATCACGGTTCATTCAGATTCCCTGCTGAAAAGTCCATTTCCTGTTATTTTTGATAAAAAGCAGCAGAAACACTTTCAGTGCAGCTGCATCACAGCACATTTTTGTCTTTTTTTTGACATCTACAAAAATAAAATCCACAAATTAGATATTATAAAGCTGTGTTAGACTAATAGATATCACCATTGGGTGTTTCTGTTATTTTGTCCAACACTCTGTACCTATGTTATGTTTCGTTTCTGTGTATGTAGCCAGCAGGCGGCCATCTTGGAGGACCTGGTCACTGATGTTCCCCTGGAGTTTGACTTCCTATTTTCCCACTCACATACAGAGGTCATCTCTGGGAAACAGGAAGGTGACGGGACATGTTTTCTTATTATGATGCTATTACTTGCCAGTACTAGTTTGAGTATACAGTATGTTTACTGAATTAATGCAACATGAACTGTGGCAGAAAATAAACCTGATTCTGTGATTTCTAACTGCCGCCTGCCTGTTTCTTGTTTCTCCTCACCGTGGTGTGATGACATGTTTCTGCCGCTGCTCAACCCTGAAGGAGTATATGCGTGGATTGGCATTAACTTTGTGCTGGGCCGTTTTGATCACGCTGACGAAGGTGACTGTGAAGGTGTAACGAGACGTGTCTGAAACTGACACAAATGTTTGGTTCTGCAATACCACTTTCATCAGATGAAAAAGTAAACAGTAAAGAAATAGTTCCTCTCCTGTCTCTAGTGTTACTACTCCCTAACTTCTGACCCTCCGCAATACCACTTTCATCAGATGAAAAGGTAAACAGTAAAGAAATAATTCCTCTCCTGTCTTTAGTGTTACTACTCCCTAACTTCTGACCATTAATTAAATCGTAACTTTGTTCAATCTTTGTGTGTCCCAGTGGACGCTACAGTCGAGGTGACAACAGGCTCTCAGAACCAGCAGCCGATCAGCAGGCGGCGCACGGTGGGTATGATGGATATGGGTGGAGCTTCACTGCAGATCGCCTATGAGGTGCCCAGTGCCATCACCTTTAACTCACCACAGGAGGTAAGGAGGTGCAGTCAGGGATCTGTCTTTGTAACCTGGGAAAACTGTCACTGGTCAGGGCTGCATCAACATCATCACGTTTTGTGTGAAAAACAAACCTGTGAATTTCAGTTTACAGTAATATAAGACCAAGAACAGCAGATTAAACCAACAAATATTTGGCATGTTTGCCTGAAAAGTTCCTTAGTCCATTGATTGATGGTTCAGCTATGTAAAAAAAATCACCTTAATACTGAGCCCTGTTTTAGTCCATTGATTGACGGTTCAGCTATGTTAAAAAATCACCTTAATACTGAGCCCTGTGTTAGTTTAGATAACTGGCCTGGTCTCCATCAGTGTAATGTCTGTCTTCTAGGAGGAGGCTGGGAAGAGTGTGCTGGCAGAGTTTAATCTGGGCTGTGATGTCGAGCACACGCAGCACGTGTACCGAGTCTATGTCACCACCTTCCTGGGCTTCGGAGGAAACATGGCCAGGCAGCGCTACGAGGACCAGCTTGTCAACGACACACTCGCCAAGAACAGGTTCAGATTCGCACATTCACGCACACATTTTAGGACCACCGTGCCACGAAAGAGCCACAGTAACTTAGATATCTTAATAATGAGACCATGCTCTAGAATAGGTGAATGGTAGCCAACAGTATTATTTAAAATCAAGACTACATTTCCCATAACCCCCTTCAATGTTTTCCTTTTTGATCAGAGTCTTTTAAGCTTCACTGAAATGTGTGAAAATGATGTCATTTTCCCACTGGCATTTTGCTCCTGCCACCACCTGTGACTGGGAGAAATGAAGTGTGCAGCTCTTCCTGCTTTGGACCATGAAGATAAATAAATATATTTTAAAAAATCCAAGCAGGTGGTAGAAGTAGATAAAATATACTGATTTGAAGTCAATTATATAAATATCTCTAAACAAATAATGCATCTTGTAAAGATGCTGTAACTGCTGAAGTCTACAATAGATCTTTTTGTTAATATCTGTTTTCATGATTATGATCACAGTTAGGCCATAGATTGACTGTAAATGCTGAATGTCCTCCTTTGTGTTGCATCTAACAGGCTTCTAAGCACACAGACAGGCCTGAGTGAAGACAAACCGTACCTGGACCCCTGTCTGCCGCTCGGCCTGTCAGACACAGTTGTGAGGGACAACCAGACCTTGTACCTGAGGGGTCTGGGTGAGTGGACCCGATGCCAGGAGGCTGTACGGCCCTTCCTGGGCCTCCACAATGGCACCATGTCACCAGGGGGCGTCTACCAGGTGCGGATTGTTTCAGCACAGGACTGTGCACAGATAGAAAATCACACATTTTACCTTGTTACCTACGTGGGTATTATTAGTACATAAAGGATATGGTGGCCAAATATCACTGCTCTATCAATACAACACGTGATCTGTATGTTGTGTTCACTTCTTTTGGCATCCTGTTTTTAAAAGGGAAACTCCTTGAGATTCTTCAGTTTTCCCAAATCCTTTCTTTTGCTGTCTCATGAAGCATGACATATCCTTCAATGCCTCTAATCCCTTTTTTTCAGGCTCCCATCAACTTCAGTAACAGCGAGTTCTATGGCTTCTCAGAGTTTTATTACTGTATGGAGGACGTGCTGAGGATGGGAGGACTTTACCACGGCGAGAAATACTCCCGAGCTGCTACAGTAACCACAGACACACAGATGGTTCCTAAGTAAATGGGCTGTGAAATATAATTTTACTCACTGTTTGTTTTCTGGTGTTTTCTTCGTTTACCAGGACTACTGCTCTACCAAGTGGTCAAAACTGAAACAGCGTCTGGACAACCAGCTTTTCTCTCAGCAGGCCGACATCAACAGACTCAAGTAGGTTCATCTCTCTTCATCACAGGAGTCTTCATCGTAGCGGCATGTCCCCAGAGAACCTTTTCCAGTTACTGTTTAGAACGGTTCTGTCATAAGAATAGGAAATGGTGCGTGTTGTCACTGCTGCGATAATACTCATTCTATAGGTTTTAGTGGAAAGGTTGTTATCGATGTGTGTAGCGAGCTGCAGATTCCTCCACAAGGAGAAGCTGTTCAGTCATTGTCCAACTAGTCCTACATCTGCCAACCTGCACCACTCGTGGGAATGGGAAGGAGCAAAGGCTGACGTGTCAGTATCTCCACCAACAGGCAGTGGAAGTGTTTGTGTTTACATGTGATTCAGGATTGTATGCTTGTGTCACCTAAAAACTGTTCTTAAAATGGGCTCGGATGAGTTACTCAAACCAGTGGATGTTAAATACTCAACTATAAATTCACTTTAGCTTATGGCTGTAAAACAAGGAAGATTTTAACTATTTTGTTAGAGTTTATATTTTATTTCACTTTATTTTTGCTTCTTAAATAAAATCTAGCTTCACAGCAAATTGTGGGGGGGCTTGATCTTCAAACACCTCAACTCACTGGACAACTGAGCCTGAGTGTTACTTTTCTGGAGACATAAGAATTTCACTAACAAGTGTTTGTTAGAAACTGATGGTTCTCCATCTGCAGGTGGAAGCTGCAGTTACCTTTCTTGGCTGTAGGTGGTGCAGGGTGAAATAGAACTGAAGCTCTGAGAGTGCTGGAGGTGCAGCTGTGCAACAGGCTGATCTTCACTGCCACTTTGCAGACATTTGCAGAGTAATCATCCGCCCATGTGTCCGTCTCTGACCCACCATGCTGCTCTTGTTAACCCAGGTATCAGTGCTTCAAGTCGGCCTGGATGTTCGAGGTGCTGCACTCTGGTTTCCGTTTCCCCACCGATTACGCTAGTCTGAAAACAGCCCAGCTGGTTTATGACAAAGAGGTCCAGTGGACTCTGGGAGCCATCCTGTTCAAAACCCGCTTCCTGCCTCTCAGGTAAGCCTCAGAGTGAAAATAAAGGGACATCAGATTGCTGGTTGGTCGGTGGATCGTTACACCCCTGTACTGAATAACCTTTTCACATTCACACTCAGGAAACAAACCTAACTTTGCACATTTTCTCATGGGAATATGCAAAGTGTGACCTGATATAAGAAAACATACTATTCCAGTCCTTTAGTTTCAGATGAGGCATGAGCAGTGTAATTGTTTCTGAGAGTGAAACAAAATCCCTAAAGCCCAGGGTTTTATGTATAAGATGGGTGAAATGCAGAGAACACATTTTTCCAAAGGGGCCAATAAAATAATGTTTAATTAACCAAATTACGTTTGACCTAGACATTAGAATAAATGAGATGTTTAAGTAAAATGAAAGGCTGCCACATAAACAGACCCATGTGCCACTGTGTATGTTCACGTTCTCCTCTCCAGGGACCTGCAGCAGGAAACACTGCGGCAGAGCCACCCCAGCTGGCTGCGCTCCTCCTTTGTCTACAACCACCACCTGTTCTCGCTCTGCATCCTGGTCGTAGTGCTGGCCATCCTGCTCTACATCCTGCGCCTGCGGAGGATCCACCAGCGGGAGCAGAGGCAGGCCGAGGCCCTGAACCTTCTCTGGGCCGAGGAGGGAGAGGCCCTCCTCCCCTGAGAAATCTGTCTGTGATGGTAGGCTCCAGACCGATAACCTGCACATCTGATTTACTGTAACCATGAAGCCAAAATAAGGAACATGAGTATGGAGGACTCAAACTTTTATAGTGTGGAAAAACATCACAGCACAGAAACGTTTTAATGAGTCTGGAAATCGGACTCTTGTGAACATTCTTTGATCATGTAGTTTTAAAAACAGAGCCCGTCTCAGACCGGCGCCGTGTTCACTTTCTTCTCCTCAACACAATTTTGGATGAAAAGAATCACCTCTGCATCACAGGATCAAACCACTCTTTGTTTTTGCTGCTCAGATCTAGTTTCAAGGTAGTGTGGACAGTTAATTCTGATTCATTGTCACAGTTAACCTCTTCACTGCTCAGCGAGAACGCACAGGAATATGGGCAGCATCCTTACCTGAAAGCCTATGGGGCAGAAAAAGCAGTGACCCTATTAGGATTAATATCTTTGCAATATATATTTATACATAATCGTAATACAACTGTGGTCAGCCTCAGCTGTAACATTAAGGCTAACATGCTAGTATTCACTGTCACACAGAGACTCACTTCACATTGTATGACAACACATGACAGTTAGACTGAATAACAGACTTTAATATGAGGCATCTAGATTTGTTCACATCATTTCAGTCAGGACTCTCATGTCAGAGTTTGAACCACTGAACATGCATCTTAGTTTGGTGGGGTGGCTGTGCTCATGTGAAGCTCAAACAAGCTTGGCACAGACTATCCCTGAGCTCTCGGTGTTTAAGGAGCATGAACGCATGTTGAAAACATTCAGAATATATGGTAAACTAAATGCTAATACAGGAGGAGGCTGGGGAGCTGGAGGGAGTTATGAAGCATTTCATTTAAAATGAAGACATAGATGTCAACATAAACCCTGTTTACAAGTCACACACCGACTCCAGTATCACATGAACGAATTACATGGTAAATATTAGCATGCTCATGTTAGCATGTTAGCTTGATGATATGACTGAAACAGTAGTAATTCAGATTAAGTACAGTTGTGTATCTCTTTCTTGTGCATTTTACTCCATTTGTGTGTTGCCTTCTCTCTCACATCCTGGTGAACAGTAACACGTTTAAACATTCCTACCTGCAAAGGCGATGAAGCTGTTGTTTGGGTGGGAATGGATGTTGGCTTCACCCTCAGTCCTAGAGATGAAACAGCACACCCTGCTCTTCCCATCTAACAGTTGAACTGTTCACACCCTCAAAACTAATTTAGCATTGCACTTCAGTGTGAGGTGATATCGCGGTGGGCTCTCATCCTGAGTGCAGAAACACTTTCCTGCCATTGGAGATAGTGTTTCATCTGCACCTCTCCAGGCTCCGATCGGATGACTGCCTCGAAATCATGATGATGATGATGTCATCCGCACAGCTCCGGCCGAAGATTGTGCTTTGATACTTGAATGCCACTGTTGTCCTGCCAAGACCCCGTCCAGCACAGATTCTTATCAGAGCCAGGACTGAGCCAAGAGGCCTTTCAGCTGAAATAAGTGGAGAGATCTGCTTAGTGTTTGGATGAATGTGCTGAAGGCAAAGACCCCAGAGGTCAGATTTAAGCAGATGTCATCTGATTTCTCAGTGCAATAACTCCACGAAAGGGAAAACTTGTCTTATCCCACGGACCAAGTTGGATGCTGTGGCCTGGCAGAAAAACATTTCACTATGTGTTAAATATTTAATAGGTTTTCAAGGAGAACTTTTTTAAGGTCACTGCTGAGGAAACAAGCTTCACCGTGAGGAAAAGGGTCTGGTTTGTCCAGCTACTGCTGTATCTCATAGCTGTAAATGAAGCCTGTTTGGCTTTGGCATCGTGTTATGTGCTGATACAGCTGTGCAACGACCATGACGATGTAAATACGTCAGAGTGAAGATGCCTGCTGACACTTCCTCAGAAGTTCTGCCATGTGTCGATCCCACAGTGGGAGGTTTTATGTCCAGAATTATGACTTCTAATTAATGTTATTGATTCTAATCAAGGTGTGGGGCATGACTCATCACATTCAGCGATGATGACCCCGGTGTTTTTGTAACTTGTATTGTGATGCTAATGTGCTAAAGGAGGAAACAGTTTCTCAGTTTTAAAATGTGATTTCAGTTATGTTTCACGTTCCTGTTCTCCTTTCTTTTCTGTTCGTCCTGACACAGATGAGTCTTGACGCTTCCTTGTCAAACTGTCAGTGTGAATTTGTAACCTTCGTCTCCACATCTCTACTTCAAAAGTGCTCTGCTACTGACCCTGTAAGCTGCTGACAACAGCCAACCATGAAATTTTAGTATCATTTCAGGCTTTATTTTGGATTCCACCAGTTACTCTACAGTTGATCTGAAACTTAAAATTGCTTCATCCCACTGTGGATTTTAGAACTTCTGCTGCTCTTCTGATGTTTCCACTCCTGGCGAGGGACCAGTACAGGGTATTGTGCAATGCTGATCTGTAATTTCACTGAAGGGGACACTGACTTTGATGTTTTTAATGTAGGTACCTTTAATATCAACATGAATAGAAAGAGTTTCAATCCAACACAGGACCATTTTGTAATAAAATCAGTTCTGACTCATGTTCCGCCTGTTGTATTCACTGCAGATAAGGAAGCCTTGGTGTGGTGGGTGCAGACTCGTGCAACATACAGTAACTCCCTCACTGCTGTGTCACAGAACAACTGTTGCATTTATGCCCCAGACACATGTCGGATGGGAAACTCTGAGGTCTCATTATCCAGCAGTTCTGGTTCAGTTCAGTTTCACATGATCTCACCTTTTTAAGCTAATATGGACAACATGCTCCTTTAAAGCTCAGAGACAATGAGCATTTAAAAATGTATAATTTGATGACTGTTGGGAAAATGCTGTTCTCTGATTAGAAGGATCATGTGATGTATAAAGTAAAGCTACTAAATGGATCCGTTTTCTCAACGTTTCCAAGGTAAAGAATGAGAGGATAGAAGAAGAAATACCAGAGAGCTCAGGAGGTCTGCTCCAAATTAGGAGCTGAAGATGCTTTTTGAAGAAGGGGACAAAAAAATCAACAGGTGGACAAGAGGATCAAAGGCGTTCTGTAAAATAAAAAGCCTTTATTAAGATGGATGGCATCTAGAAGACAGAAAATGTTTCACATATTCCAAATGGAGGTTACAGCCCACGAGTAGCACCAAACAAAACCTGCCTTCTTCAGGGTGTAACCTGCAGCACATGGTTTTCCCATAAATAGATGCGAGACAGTTATAAACTCTTGTTTGTAAAGAGGAGCCAGTCATCTTATTAATGGATAAACACCTGCAGGTGGTCACACAAGGAATCAAAGAACATATTGTGTCAACCCCATCAAGAAATATATGTAAACAGCCATATACAAAACATGAGCTGCATCAAATACACAAAAAGCAGCCTACCTGCACAGCCACACAAATACAGAGAGTAATTTATATACATTTAAAGAAAGGGACTATAATCTCATCATTTAGTCCAGGAGAAGTTTCTCTCTGAAGCAAAAACTTCAAACGATCACAACCCAAAATGATGCTATTTATAGTTTCTAAGCCTTCAACCCGAAGAGTATCTTGGAAATGCCATAGAAGAGTCCAGGTTACCTTTCCTAGCTGTATTTTTATGTTATAAACTCTGTCTTTAAGTCGTCTTTTTGTACGGCCTGTGTGAAAGCAACCACAGGTGCAAGAATGAGAGGTTTTATGATCATACCAGATATTTTAATAGCTGATGTGTTATGGTTTGTGTCAGAGTGCACACTGTGAGTGGACAGAGAGAGAAGGAACCCCAGAGCATGCAGCCAATTTATTTTTAGACCGTTAGTTGTTATCTGTGGAGACAGCTATAGCCTGCGCACACGGTCAGCCTGTCAGGCACCGAGACATGTGCAGGGTTTATCTATAGTTTGTCCAGAGTTGGAAGCTTCTTTTTACATGTTTCCTACTAGTTGACATGTTCTGAGCCAAAAATGTCTTTAAGTGACGTAAACATCTCATAAACTGTCTCCTAAATGTGCCTCATGCAGAGCTGGTCTTTGTTCTGCAGCGTGTACTTGGAACTGGGCTCCTTTTAAAGCCAGAAATAAGAATCCTGCTCCTTTTTTTTTTACCCTCTGTCCAAAATATGAACAAAATTCCATTAAAAAGGAAAAATGTTGCCTGTTTATCATAGGAAATATTGACTGAGCAATGACTATGAGGGGCCAAAGCCCAGACTTATCCTGCACAGAACATCAGTGGAAAGACCTGAGAATAGTGTTTGTGCACACTTTCCATTCAGTCTGATGGATCCTGACAGGATCTGCAGGCAGAATGAGATCACTGTGCAAATCCATGTGTGCAGAGCGTCTAGAGAATGAAATGGTGCCTGTTGCCAGAAAGGCTTCCACAAAGTTAATAGAAGACATAACAAGTGCGATGGATGAGAGGAAATATGCAATGTGAATATTTATTGACCTAAAAAAAGCATTTGACACAATCAATCATGAGGTATTAATGGATAAGTTAGAAAAATATGGGATCAGAGGAATGGGTTTGAATTGGATTAGAAGTTATTTGACACAGAGGCTTCAATTTGTGAAGTTGGGTGAATACCAATCGAGTGAGCTGGACATTGTATGTGGAGTGCCTCAGGGTTCTGTTTTGGGACCTAAATTATTTATACGTATTGTGCAATGCTGATCTGTAATTTCACTGAAGGGGACACTGACTTTGATGTTTTTAATGTAGATACCTTTAATATCAACATGAATAGAAAGAGTTTCAATCCAACACAGGACCATTTTGTAATAAAATCAGTTCTGACTCATGTTCCGCCTGTTGTATTCACTGCAGATAAGGAAGCCTTGGTGTGGTGGGTGCAGACTCGTGCAACATACAGTAACTCCCTTACTGCTGTATCACAGAACAACTGTTGCATTTATGCCCCAGACACACTGTTATGTCGGATGGGAAACTCTGAGGTCTCATTATCCACTGTTATGTCGAATGGGAAACTCTGAGGTCTCATTATCCAGCAGTTCTGGTTCAGTTCAGTTTCACATGATCTCACCTTTTTAAGCTAATATGGACAACATGCTCCTTTAAAGCTCAGAGACAATGAGCATTTAAAAATGTATAATTTGATGACTGTTGGGAAAATGCTGTTCTCTGATTAGAAGGATCATGTGATGTATAAAGTAAAGCTACTAAATGGATCCGTTTTCTCAACGTTTCCAAGGTAAAGAATGAGAGGATAGAAGAAGAAATACCAGAGAGCTCAGGAGGTCTGCTCCAAATTAGGAGCTGAAGATGCTTTTTGAAGAAGGGGACAAAAAAATCAACAGGTGGACAAGAGGATCAAAGGCGTTCTGTAAAATAAAAAGCCTTTATTAAGATGGATGGCATCTAGAAGACAGAAAATGTTTCACATATTCCAAATGGAGGTTACAGCCCACGAGTAGCACCAAACAAAACCTGCCTTCTTCAGGGTGTAACCTGCAGCACATGGTTTTCCCATAAATAGATGCGAGACAGTTATAAACTCTTGTTTGTAAAGAGGAGCCAGTCATCTTATTAATGGATAAACACCTGCAGGTGGTCACACAAGGAATCAAAGAACATATTGTGTCAACCCCATCAAGAAATATATGTAAACAGCCATATACAAAACATGAGCTGCATCAAATACACAAAAAGCAGCCTACCTGCACAGCCACACAAATACAGAGAGTAATTTATATACATTTAAAGAAAGGGACTATAATCTCATCATTTAGTCCAGGAGAAGTTTCTCTCTGAAGCAAAAACTTCAAACGATCACAACCCAAAATGATGCTATTTATAGTTTCTAAGCCTTCAACCCGAAGAGTATCTTGGAAATGCCATAGAAGAGTCCAGGTTACCTTTCCTAGCTGTATTTTTATGTTATAAACTCTGTCTTTAAGTCGTCTTTTTGTACGGCCTGTGTGAAAGCAACCACAGGTGCAAGAATGAGAGGTTTTATGATCATACCAGATATTTTAATAGCTGATGTGTTATGGTTTGTGTCAGAGTGCACACTGTGAGTGGACAGAGAGAGAAGGAACCCCAGAGCATGCAGCCAATTTATTTTTAGACCGTTAGTTGTTATCTGTGGAGACAGCTATAGCCTGCGCACACGGTCAGCCTGTCAGGCACCGAGACATGTGCAGGGTTTATCTATAGTTTGTCCAGAGTTGGAAGCTTCTTTTTACATGTTTCCTACTAGTTGACATGTTCTGAGCCAAAAATGTCTTTAAGTGACGTAAACATCTCATAAACTGTCTCCTAAATGTGCCTCATGCAGAGCTGGTCTTTGTTCTGCAGCGTGTACTTGGAACTGGGCTCCTTTTAAAGCCAGAAATAAGAATCCTGCTCCTTTTTTTTACCCTCTGTCCAAAATATGAACAAAATTCCATTAAAAAGGAAAAATGTTGCCTGTTTATCATAGGAAATATTGACTGAGCAATGACTATGAGGGGCCAAAGCCCAGACTTATCCTGCACAGAACATCAGTGGAAAGACCTGAGAATAGTGTTTGTGCACACTTTCCATTCAGTCTGATGGATCCTGACAGGATCTGCAGGCAGAATGAGATCACTGTGCAAATCCATGTGTGCAGAGCGTCTAGAGAATGAAATGGTGCCTGTTGCCAGAAAGGCTTCCACAAAGTTAATAGAAGACATAACAAGTGCGATGGATGAGAGGAAATATGCGATGGGAATATTTATTGACCTAAAAAAAGCATTTGACACAATCAATCATGAGGTATTAATGGATAAGTTAGAAAAATATGGGATCAGAGGAATGGGTTTGAATTGGATTAGAAGTTATTTGACACAGAGGCTTCAATTTGTGAAGTTGGGTGAATACCAATCGAGTGAGCTGGACATTGTATGTGGAGTGCCTCAGGGTTCTGTTTTGGGACCTAAATTATTTATACAATACATTAATGATATATGCAAGGTTTCTGATTTAGTGAAAGTGGTTTTGTTTGCTGATGACACTACCATATGGGCATCGGGTGAAAACCTACAGCAACTCTCTGGACGGATTACACAGGAACTTGAGAAGATAAAGAAATGGTGTGATACAATGTGCCTAATATAACAACACAAAAAATTCTGATAATTCATGTCTTTATTGAGAACAACCATAAAAACCTCATAGTGCTAGTGAAAAAAGTATGTGAACCCTTGAGTTAATGACCTCAAAAAAGCTAATTGAGTCAGGTGTTAGCATACCTGGAGTCTTGTTAAGAAAATGAGTTTGCAGGTGTGGACTAGAACTACTTTGACAGATAAAAACCACTGAAACTTTGAGTTTGCTTCACACAAGAAGAATATGCTTATGTAAGCCATGCCTCACCAAAAAGAGCTTTCAGAAGATCTATGATCAAGAATTGATGATTTACATAAAGCTGGAAAGGGTTAAAGTGATTTCAAAAACTTTAGAAATTGTATAGATGATACATCCGTCACTATAAATAATAATACAATACAATACAATATAATTTAAGGGGTCAGTTAAATTTAAAAATTCATGCTATACGTACAACCAAAAAAAGATTTTGTATTT